TCTATTTGGTTTTATTAGTTTTCTTATTTTCTAACTCATTTAGACCAATATACAAAGATGAATCAAAAATACGTTTATTCTATTATCTATCAAGGTATCAACATAGTTCAAAATACTTTAAGGAAAGACCATACAAGTTCCAGTTGAATAATACTGTTATGTTTTGCAAAGGCTATTTACCCTTATATTAATATAAATAGTAGACAGAACCTATAGTATCTAGTAGGGTTTTTTAAAAGCAACATCTTAGTAAGATTATCCATTTTCAATAAAAATATTAAATTTATTTACCTTCCTGAACATTGTCTATGTATCCTACATAGCATGATACTTTATAAGAAAAATAACCTAGAGCCAGATAGTTGAATTATGATAATAATATTCCAATATGTGGGTGAAGAAGCCATCATCCTCAAAAAAAAATTTCCCCTGAATTTTATACATTAATAAAGAAACAAGAAAATACCTTTTATCTTTTCAGTGGGATTTATTTATGTTTAAGTAAAAGTAGCAAATGTTACATAAGTTATTTCTTTAAGAACATTTATTTTAGACAACCACATTGTTATCAAGCAACATTTATGGAATGTTCCCTGGATCCAGGATACTGAATTTTGTAACTATTGTAGCATTCTCTTTTCCAAGTTTAAATGTGACTTTGTGCACTGAAGAAGCATGGCTTCCCATTGTAGAGTTGTCATGTGTGACAACCGACCTTTATGCAAGAAACCTTGGGTTGAAGAATGTTTTATCTTCAGTTGATTTCCAAAATGATTTTGTGTGTGTGTGTGATTATCAAACCCATATGATTTTTTTCAATTCATTCTTCTTCTGCTACAATGAAAATTAACCAGTTAAAACTAAGCAGTTTGGCAATATAAATAACCAAATATATGTGATGTTGTATCATGTATAGGATGTTTTAGATGATATTGATGTTTTATATTACACATCTCTAGTTAACATACTTTGGGAAATAAAAAGTTAAAACATGTCTGGTAAACAAACAAAAAGAATATTCTGAAAATTGATGCGTTGTTTTAACAGTCCCCAAAACTTGAGTTTACTTGTTTTTTTGGTGTGTGGTAGAATAGTATCATACTAAAATAAAAAAATCTTGCTGACAGCATTTTTTATATTCCTATTTTATACATTTTTAGATAACAGAATAATCCTGTAATTTTATTGCTAAAACATTATTACTCAGTTAGTCATGATTATCAGATTTTAGGCTGAATTTGCTGCTCTCATATTTGTGAACATTGATTATTTCACTGTTTACTTTTCCAAACATGTGCTTATGATAAAGATCCAAAAGCCATAATGGGGAGTCATTGGTAATAATAAACGTACAATGATTGGTTAGGACAATAACTAATCTTAAAGGTTGAAGTTTTTGTTTCTATGATAAAAGCTCTGACTATCCTGTTAAGTTAGCTGTACAGAGAAGTATTTGGGGATCAGGAAATGCGTATTTCCAAAAAACTATATTGCATGCTTATTTGGCTGGGAGAAATTCTCTGGTTTGATGCATCACTGATATTTAGGGTGGAATCTCATGCAGCTTCTTCAGCAAGCTTGTTGGTCCCTCAGGGAGCCCGGCAATGTTACACATGTCTTACAGCCTGTCACTGCATATATCTCTCTGTGCTCATTGCCAGGAAGATTGCAGATTCTCCAACAAAATCCAATGCTAGATTTAGAACTGAAGGAGCTTTGTTTCAGATACCTGTAATACCTATAAAAAGCAAATTTCGAAAAATAGGGAAAATTTATGTTAAAGGTGTTATAGTATTTTTAACGGTTGTATGATTTATTTTTGTATTTACTACAAATTTGTATTCAAAATACAAATTATTCAGGAACTTCTGATTTCAAAATGGTGGCACAGAAACAAGCTGGCTAAACTCCCTCCCGCAGAAAATCAAAAACAAATATATAGCACCAAGATTGTCATCAGCAATATCCCAGAACTCAAATATGAGGAATGAAACAGTTCCCAGGGCCACATATGAGTGAACAAACTCTGAGCAGACAGTAAGAGAATCAGACTTCTATATCCATGATGCCTCTCCTCCCAATCTCTCCAGCACCAAGCATGAGTAAAATTTCTGGGCAACTCATGGTTTCTACACTGGAAAAAAAAAAGATCAAGTTGGGCAACAGCTTCCCCAACCATCTTAGGTTCCCTGGGAGGAGACTTGTCCTTGCCTCAACCCATGGGAAGCATCAGGAGTGCCTAAAGGGCAAAATATCCCTGAGGACAGCCAGAGACAAATGAGGGAGGCAGGACCACCATTCCCAGCCCTGTAAACTCTGGTCTGTAACTCGGCAAAAGGAGACACCAAATCAGAGTGGCTGTTCTGCAGCACCATGCTGTAGGACTGTGGTCCCCAACTTCCAGGCCAGGGACTGACATCAGTCCAGGGCCTGTTAGGAACCTGGTCTCACAGCAGGAGGTGAGTGTCAGGTGAGCAAGTGAGGCTTCATTTGTATTTACAGCCACTCCCCATTGCTAGCATGACTGCCTAAACTCTGCTTCCTGTCAGATCAGCAGCGGCATTAGATTCTCATAGGAGTGCAAACCCTACTGTAAACTGTACATGCGAGGGATCTAGGTGGTGTGCTCCTTATGAGAATCTAATGCCTGATGATCTGAGGTGGGGCTGAGGCAGTGATGCTGGTTCTGGGGAGTGGCGGCAAATACAGATTATCATTAGCAGAGAGGTCTGACTGCACAATAAATGTAATATGCTTGAATCATCCTAAAACCATCTCCCCGATTCCCAGTCTGTGGAAAAATTTTCTTCCATAAAACCACTCCCTGGTGCCAAAATGGTTGGGGGCCACTGCTGTAGGAGGTTTCTTAGAATTGAGGCAAATCTTAGATTTCCATGTAGTACGAGATGGAGGCAACAATTTATCAGGGGAAAAAAAGAAAGAAAATCAAGGTAAAATTTAGGTAAATTATAAAGAATCTCTAAGCAAACATATCCAATAAAAACCAAAACAAGCCAGACCAGGAAGACTGGAATAAATAGTCCTTCAATGCAAAGACATAGATAGACATCCACAACAAGTAACAGCAAACAGAGAACCATAACTTCCTCAAATGAACAAAGCAAGAAACCAGTGACTGACCCTGATGAGACAGTGGTATGTGAAATCTCTGACCAGAAATTCAAAATAGCAGTTCTAAGGAAACTCAGTAATCTTCAAAATAACACAGAAAAACAATTCAGAAATTTATCAGAGAAATTTAACAAAGATATTGAAATTTTTATAACCCAGAAATCCTGAAACTGAGAAATACATTTGCAAAACTGAAAGATTCATTAGAGACTCTCAACAGCAGAATGGATCAAAGAATCAGTGAGCTTGAAGACAGCCTATGTGAAAATACACAGAGAAAAAAAAAAGAAAGAAGAAAGAAAAGGGAAAAAATAGCCTACATGTTATAGAAAATTATGTCAAAAGACCAAATATCAGAAATATTGGTATTCAAGATGGAGTTGAGCAAGAGCAAAGGACAGAAATCTTATTCAAAGAAATAATAACAGAAAGCTTTCCAAAACATGAGGAATAGAGAAATAGCCTGGTATGGGAAGGTCAGAGAACATGAAGCAGATTCAACCCAAATAAGACTACTAAAGATATACTTAGAAAAACCTAAAGACTCCAACCAAAAAAACTGTTAGAATTGATAAATTAATTCAGTAAAGTTGCAGAATACAAAATCAACATATAAAAATCAGTAGC